TAGGTGCCTGGGTGAGAGCTTCTTTGAGGGTCTCAAAGGCTGACTGGCGTGCATCACTCCACTGCAACTTAAGGCCCTTCTTGGTGAGATCATGAAGAGGTCCTGCTATCTTAGTGAAATCTTTAACAAACTTCCGGTAATAGTTAGCTAGCCCCAGAAATGCGCGAACATCTTTTACTGAGCGGGGGACTGGATACTCCTTAATAGCACTGACTTTATCGGGATCGGGGAGTACTCCATCTTTAGAGATAACGTGACCAAGGAACTTGACCTTTTTCTATCCAAAATGACATTTACTGGGCTTGAGCTTAAGTCCAGCTTCTCAGGAACGATTGAAAACTAATCGCAAGTGCTCAAGGTGTGCGTCAAAGGTTCTGGAGTAGACCAAGACATCGTCAAGATAAATCAAAGCGATTTTCCACGTTAGTCCTCGCAAAACGCATTCCATAAGTCTTTGGAAGCAGCTGGGTGCGTTACAGAGACCGAACGCCATAACTTTAAACTCGTAGAGCCCGGCATGAGATAGAAATGCTGTCTTCTGGGTCAAAGAAGGATCCATGGAGATTTGCCAGTAACCACTGCTAAAATCGAGAGAATTCATAAACTGGGCACCATGGAGCACGTCCAACGTTTCGGCTATGCGAGGGAAAGGATAGGAATCCTTCTTGGTAACACTGTTAACTTTGCGAAAGTCAGCACAGAACCGGTCACTCCCGTCAGGTTTACGTACCAGTACCCCAGGGCTGCTCCAAGGGGATGTAGAAGGCTGAATGATATCTTGCTCAAGCATTTCATCAATGCATTGTTCAATTCGTCGTTTTTGTGCTTCTGGGACGCGATACGCTCTTTGCCTTATGGGTGGGTGATCACCAGTGTTGATATGGTGCTGGACGAGGTTAGTTCTTCCGAGTTCTTGTGGAGATAGAGCAAAAACATCACGGTACTCATTAATTAGGCGCTGCAGTTCTGTCTTTTGACTGTCGGTCAGGTCAGCATTAGCAAGATCAACAGGAACATCCGGGACTTCCACCTGTGATTCTTTGGTAGGCTCGATCTTGGTAGACAAACTGAACACCTGGAGGCTCTCATCGGTCTGGGAAAATGTTCCAAGAGTAGCACCGCGATATAGGGTCACGGGCTTGCGGGTAGGGTTAATAAATCGGAATGGAACTGTATGGTCAGCGGATACAGTAACCAATGAAGCGGCACCCTGCAGCTGGTATTGTTCGATCAAGCGTGGGGAGGCTTCAACAAATCCAACATCTCCGGGTGTATAGGTCTGGTCTAAGTAAGCTGGTATAACAGCTTCTGAACTAGCTGGAATGACACAATTGTACAGCACGCGGACAGCACACGCCCCTTCACTATGAGGCCTGGCAATACTTTCCTCTAATTGCAAAGTACTGTCTTTTAAATTAATAACAGCTCCATTTGCTCTCCGGAAATCCCTTCCTAGTAGAGCATCATAGGTGAGATCACGAACAACTAGGAAAGGGCAGGAGTAGAGTCCATTTGCAATCTCCAGCGTGGTTGTGAATCTCCCACTTACAGGTAAAGGTGCGCCACTTACAGTTTTTACATCTCCAGAGTTGTGCTTCTGCAGTGGAGGTAAATGTCCCTGATAGATTTCTTTCAGAAAATTTTCGTCAATTACACTAACGGCAGCTCCAGTATCTACTAAGGCTTTGATGTGCTGTCCTTTTAACATTGGACTCACAGTGAGGTCTCTTGGTTTGCTCTGTGGTCTTCGTTCTGGAAATTCCTCGTTGGCTCGAGCTGGAAAAGCAGGTAGAAAGGATACTGGGAAAGGACAAACAGGATTTGTTGCTGCATGAATATCATCTTCTTCGAGTGAGTGATTCCTCATGATGTTGTTGCTCTGTGGCGGTTCAAGTACTTGCTGCACGTGAGGCGAGCGGTGAGCGGGAATTATTGTAGACGTGGAGACACCTAGGAACGAAAGCAGTTCCTCTGCTATACTTGGAGAACGTATAGCAGGAAACGAAGGAATCTCTCTTTCGTGCAGAACGTCTTCCCTTTCGTTATCCAATACTGGGCCGTGCGAGGTTTTCACGGGTAAGAGTCTGAGCGTTGTCTACTACCAGCTGTGTCTCGGGAAGGGCCTGGGAATCAATCAGAGTAGGACATGGGACCACGTCAACAGAGCCAGTGGTTTGGTTGTGGCATAAGCTATTAGTACTAGGTTCATGTTGAATGGGGTCTGAGGATGACTGTACTGATGTTGGAGATACTTCAACGCCTGAGAGGGACTGGGTACTATCCAGCGAACAGCCAGGGACTGGGTCCACTTCCTTAATGACGGTATGCATCGTGTCGTTATCTAACAAGGCAGCGTTACCTTCGGTAATTGTGTTACTTTCAGCTGGGTCTGGTTTGAGCTGAGCTAAAACAGGTTGGGCCTGGGTGCGAGAGCCTTCTGTAGGTCCTTGTGTATTTCCGTCCTGCAGCTGCTTAAACAGGTCAAGAACTGAGGCTACAAAGGATTTAAGTTCCTCTTGGGCATCTACAGAAGTACTTGCGCGTTCTTGTGTGATTTCTGCAGTAGGCGATGGAGCACTTGGTGGGGCACGAGTTGTAGTGCCATTCTGGGAGCACTGGGTCCCACTTTGGTCTTGGTTGTTAGGTGACAATAATGGAACAGAAGGTGTTAATCCTTTAATATTAATTTATGCAAATGTTCAGCTACTTCGGGCTTTTGTTTGCAAAAGAAAACGGTGTCTTTAGAAATAATTTCAACGCTTGTGTGTTGTTCGTCTGTAAAGGTTTCTGGCTGTGATCTTGGCCGCGGACGAAAACTTTGTTCAACTCTTACGTTCTGTTCTAGTTCAGCCACAAAATGTTCATCATAATATTCTTCTTCAAGGGCAGCCAATGGCTGGTCTCGGCGGTCCTGTTGTTAGTAGGTACGATAATTATCTCGTGGCTGATTGTAGTTATAATTTGGCGAATAATTCACTCCCTGAGAGCGATTTTGTTGTGGCAGAGGACCTCTCAGCGCGTTATTTCTACGATCAGGGCAACTCGCTTGGAAATGTCCGCGTCGACCACAAGTAAAACATTATGGTTGACCATCTCTGGCCCTTTGACGAGGTAATTCCTCACGCTGGCCTTGGTTTCTTCGAGCCAGCCCTCGTATACGAGCATCAAAATGTCGATCAAGGGACTGAATCTTATCCAGAAGGAGTTCTTTCAACTCTTGGATGTCGCTTTTAGGGTTATATGGACTCGCAAGTATAGTAACTGAAGACTGACTATTGCTGTCTCGCGGAGCAAACCTCACTTTTGGCTCGACCGGCTGTTTTTTTAATTGGCCAATGGAAGCGCTTAGTTCAGCTAAAACAGCGTTGTTTTGTTCTATGATTCCCTGCAGTTTCTTGTCTTCTGGGCCTGTTTGTGTCGGTAATTGATTCACCGCGCTCTTGTGCACAATACGTGAGATATCTTCTTCACGGCGCTGGAATAAGGATTGTTGGATTGAGTAGATAAGTCGTGCTGTATCTTCAGCTTCGGCATACGTTTTTGGCTTCTTCTTCAGTACCTCGGCCTGGATGTCAGCTCGTAATCCCTGAACCAAGTAACTTAACTTATCTTCATCGCGTAGATTCAAGCAGCTGAACTTTTCATTTAAATCGGCGAGGAACTTTTCGATGGGTTCTTGCGGACCTTGGCGCCGAATAGAAAGCGCTTGTCGAAGGCGTAGAGAGCGATGTGCAGGAGCAAAGCGTTCTTGTAAAGCCTTACGTAACTCTACGTAGGATCCTTGTACTGTGCTGGACAAATTATAGTAGAAAGATTCAGCCGGTCCAGAGAGGTGAAGGGCTAACTGGATGGCCGCTTGTTTACTAGTTTCAGGAGTTCTTTTATTTGCCAAATAAAGTGCAAACCGCTGCAACCATCTGTCTACATTCTCATTTTCGTAGCCATGAAATATAGTTGGCTTTATTAAGGTTGGCTCAGGAAGAACAACCTGATCCTTTATCTGGTCGCACATTCGCTTCTGTAACTCAAGTATTTGAGTTTGGAAATCTGTCAGTTCACTCGAAGCCATCGGTTGAGTACTCCAAGTGCTTTCGGTTTTCACTTGGTCTTCGTTAACGGTGGTAAACTGACTTGTGGCCTGATTCCGAGCCTCGTCCTCACTGGCAATTGATTCAGATGAGTCCTCGGTGAGATTGTCTCTCTCGGGGAACGATCTTCGAGGAACAAGTTTGATTAAATCGGCGGGTGAATTAATCACCAAAGGCGGTAACTGTATTTCGTTTCTTTTACGGTTCGAGGACTGTCTTGTCTTGTCTTCGGCTTCCGAATCACTGTTTTGTTCTTCTGAATGTTCTATGGAAAATGAATTGAAATGATACGAGCGTACTTGACAAGGCGTTGGAGTGTGTATATCGCGCCTTTTGTTTGTTAAGGAACACTGTTGGCTTTTCTACGATTATAACCTAGCGAACACAAAGCAAATGAAACAAAGGATAATAAAATGGCACGAGCCCTTTTGGCAACTATAAACGATCACCCGCACAATGTACACAAATATAGAGTTACAACAAAAGAATTAAAAAGCGATAACCAAAATTAAGTGTCGCAATGAAACTTAGATTAACCGAACTGAATTAAAATAACCTACAATTACCAAATCCCTTACTAGAAACTAAGTTAAAAACGCCTTACGCTTAATCTGGAAAAACATATTACAAATCAACAAAAATGGCTATATACTCCCACCTTAAGTTGAGCCGTCCTCGGCGAAAAACACAGAAACTATTAATTAAAAAGTCCACAAAGAAAAGTTCAACTACCAGAGTTCAGTGGACATGGCCGAGAGGTCAGCCAAGGTGGTGGTCATGCATCCACTCGAGAAAGGCGGCGATCTTTTTCGACATGGTTAACACCCGCTCGCCGGGAATCAGGAGACGTGCGGGCGGACATGAAATGTCTTCCAGGTTCCGTACAAGGATTGGCACTGGCAGAGGCTCCAATCAAGCCACGAGGTCCAGGAAAAAGGCATGCTGTTGGAACCCTTTCACCCAAAGGGTTAAGGCCGCGGGAACTGGACGTCCCTGTTCGAATTTGTCCAGGAGCATGTCCTGGATATAAGCCAGTAATGCGGTACTCACCCTGAACTGCGGAAGGCCAGTGGAGTTGATTTCCCAGCCATGAAGGCGGGACTGGTGCCGGTACGTGGCAATGGCCTGGGGAGATTGTAATAGGAGTGCTGTGGAATCGAAGCGGCGGAGGTTGAAGGTCTGATGCCGTACAGAACCAAAGGCAAGCGCTTTGGTAAAGAACTCCTCGTCGCCGTGCTGGAAACCATCCACAAGGACTACAGCAGAAATGCAGGCCATGATCCTGTGAGTTTTTGTGAAAAGGCTGAACCTTGCTTAGTCGAAGAGCGTACTTTCGGTGTAAGCGAAAATTAGAAATTGGTCGAACTGGAAAAGACGCCGGTATTTATGGGCTAAGTGTAGTCAAAGCATTCAATTTGTGACAAGTATTATGCAACCAGTTACATAACCCCCATAGTTAATTAGGTCTTTTCATATCTTTTTGTTTGGAACAGTTATATGTAAATTTAGTAGCTTTACTTAAAAAGCAGTTTAATCTTCCAGGCCAATGCATTAAAATATTTGAGTTTATTGGCTGGACTCCGTTTTTGCTCCGTTATTTTACACTGACATCTTGTAAACACTATACTTTGTCCCTTAACAAAAGATATTTGAGATATGGTGGGACTTTTGATTTCTGAACCGACCTGAAAACAAATAGAGGATATTACACGGTGGCGCGAAGATATGAATTTTATTTTCGAGTGGCAAAACAATATTTTACGAACGAACGCAAATGCCATTATTTTCTAAACTGCGTACCGAAAATAACTTATTTATGCTCTAAACTCTGAAATAATGAAACACACACAAGCAAATACACAATAATGAATTTATTGTATAGGAGGAATAGGTCGGCAGTGGTATAATACGACCTCCTAACAAACACAACTTACATGATACAGAAGTATAAATGGTAGGAAAAATACAAACTGAATCTAAACCCACTCGTACAAAAATTGAATAAATTAAATTCCAATGTGCAAAGGAACATAAAGACGCGAGTCGACTTTATCGTGGACGTAGCCGTCTTTAGCTGAATCTGACTTCCACCTTCCGTGAACTTTGAAAAGCCAATCTGGAACATTCAGATTAGCAGCGGAAGTAGCTCCTCCGGACTTAAAGCTGTGACTACTAAACTTAGAAGGGTCTAATCCAATAGCTTTCAGCTTCCCCTTAAGAATTTCTCCCGCCCTGCTAGCAGTGAGGGGCTTTGAAGACAGGACATTGCCCTTCAAATCCTTGTCGTACCGTAAGGATCTGAAAATGAAATTCTGAGAAAAAGAAGGAATCCTGGCAGCTTCTAAGTACTTAATAAGGTATGTATAAGGGCAAGTAAAATTGCCAGTCTTGGCAATATAAACCCAGGAACCCTCTCTGTACCTATCAGTCTTGCTAACTTCTATGAAAATCTTATGATAGAGATCTTCAGTTACAATATTAGATCTCCTAATGCTTAAAAGGTCGGAAATGCGGAAAAAGCCAGCATATGCGAGTAAACACATACAGACAAACCTGATATCAAGTAAGTTACTACTTTCCCCATAATGCTGCAAAATTAAGCCAAGGATCTCTGGGGTAATGGGCTCCGCCTTCCTGACAGG